GGTGGAGCGGGGACGGCGGCGGCTCCACCACTCCCAGATCCAGCGCCGACGCTGCCTTCCGATCCGTCGCCACCGAGCTCGGGCTCCTTGGCTGCGACTTCCGCGAGGAGGCGCGAAGGGGACCGAAGAGAGAGGAGGGCAAGGGCCGCCGTGCAGGAAGAGGAGGGAGCACTGGGAGGCAGCATGGATCGGGGCCGGGGCGAGGCCGAGAGACGTGTGTGCGTGGGGTGAGGGAGAAGAGGATAGGGTTTTCGTGCGAGAGAGAGAGGAGAGAGATGGTGAGCGGTCGGGCTGCGGCACTTGCCTACAAAACCACAATGGCGCACCGCATGGAAAAGTACGCCATTAGTATCAAAAATAGCAATGGCGCATCAAGGGAAAAGTGCGCCATTACTATGTCCAGAAGTGGGTCAAAGCTTGGTCAAACATAGTAGTGGCGCACTTTTTACTAGGTGCGCCATTAGTAGTTTTGCAAAAAAAGGAATAAAAATATAATAAAAAAACAACATTAGTGGCGCACTTTCCGACTGGTGCGCCATTACTAGTTACAACTAGTAATGCACTGTGTCTGGATGCGCCATTAGTATGTTTGGACAGGCGCACTAGTTCAAAAAAATAAAAAAATTTGATATTAATGGCGCACCTTGGGCCAGGTGCGCCATTAGTAGTTTCAACTCTAATGGCGTATCAGAAGGTGGTGTGCCATTAGTATATACTAATGGCGCACCGTTTGTCTGATGCGCCATTAGTGTCAATCCCATCTATAGCCCTTTTTCTAGTAGTGGAAGCCCCGCCGCCACCGTCATCGGCAGTCGCCCAGGCGACGCCCGACGACTTCCTCGGGTAACGGCAGGGGGGGGGGGCGGCGCCTAGGGAAACCCTAGGAGCCCTCGGGTCGCCCTGGGGAGGACGACGCGAGGGGAGGAGGCTCAGATACGGTGACATTCTTCACTCCGCGCGATAGCGTCAGTGATACAAACAAATCTGCAGAAAAAAGGCGAGACTCGAAGAACCAGAGCTAGGGACTCATAATCCACCACACATTCCGACGAGGACGAGGAGGGAGACGTTATTCCACGTCGAGAACGACACTATCGTATCGCCACTGCCGATCAAAGACAAACTTAAATTTATTCCTAACCCCACCAAAGCCTTGAAGTCGCACCCCCTCCCATCGTGGGAACGACTGAGGTGGAACGACAGAGGAAGAAGAGGGGGCACGTGCCTAGTGTGGGAGTCACTGAAGATGGGTCGTCGTGTGCTCCTTTGATACTTTGAGCAACTATTGCACCTTATTGGGGTAAGTTGGCATCTCTCTCGATAGAAAAAGAAACATCACAATGGTACAATTTGTTGGGAATGGTCAGTAATATCGTAAGATTCCTCAATCACCCATGTGGGAAGCCAAAGGCAGAAGCATCAAACTGGTCATCACGCTTACACATAATAAAAAATCTCAAAAGATTTAGAGCGAAATCATAAAATTCAGGGCTCATTCAGGGAAACATGATAATTTATATCCTAGTTTTGTATCAATTCCATTTTAACAGTGCAGTGCTGTTGCAGAGTGTCCCTAGCATGTCGTACCAAAAACCAAACAGGATCCAATCATTGAGGGAAACGAAATAAGAGACGGCGCACACGGGTGGCCCACACTGAAGTTGAACAAATTGTGAATCATGTTTGATTGCCTCCTTCAGATCCATGGCCTTTTCTATTTTCTTTCCAACAAAATCAAATCAACGGCACAGCACAGATCAACCAAGAATCTTCAGGCACCCGGCCAGCTTAATTAGCTTGCCATGGACACATACGGGAAGCTGCAGGCACCTGCCACCTGATGCTGCCGTGCCCTGCACTGCCTTCCAAAACAACAACGATGGTTCTTCAGAATACAGATGTTGTTTTCTTCAGAATACAGATATTGTAGATCCAAACAAAACTTTCCGCGGCTAGCTGGCGATGGACACCTTCCTGGACGGCCGCTGCCCACGGTGGGACTGGGACTCCGTCTCCGGCGAGAAGCGCTGCAGCCTCCGCGCGGCCTGCCTGGCGGAGACGGCGTCGAGGTGCATCTGCTCGTGGCGGCACTCCTCGCTGCAGAAGGGCGTGTCCCCTCGGTACATGAAGACGTCGCTGTCGCGCGCCAGCCGCTTGGCGCAGAGCGCGCACGCGTCCAGCGCGTGCTTGCCGGGCTCGCCGGCCGGCTCGGCGTCGAAGAAGAAGGCGCAGGCCACCGATGCCGCCATGGTATTGCTACGTGGCTCTGCTAGCAAGCTCGAGCTTGAGCTTCAGAGCTAGAGCTCACAGGTTGCGTTCGCTGCTGCTCTTGGCGGGAGGAAGGAAAGTGGGTGAGTTTGGTGCAGCGGTGCGATGCGGGAGGGTGGGTATATATGGGGGAAATGGAGGAAGGGGAGGCCATTATTGGTGCACTGGAGCTGGCGGCCTGGGAAACCATGGTCCGGTGCGCGGTCTGGGTCTGTCTAACCATGGACGATGGGAGTAGTTCATTCCAGCATGCTTGGGTGTACTGCGGTGGTTGGCTCGATGGCTAAGGTGGGCCACGCAGTCGGCTCCACCGCGACGAGAACGACAACGGGAGGAGTTATGAGGGACGTGGGTGTGTTCTTTATTTATAAAACGAAGAGGACATATGAGTCTCTATAAAATGTCCATGTCCACGTATAGAAAACCAGACGATTGATCAGGACTGGAAATGCTGTGAAAGACTACATATGAATGTACACATATTTTAAAGTGTGAATTCATTCATTTTGCTTCGTATGGAGTAGTTTGCATGAAGCCTCCGAAAAGACTTATTATCTTGGAACTAAGGGAGTAGCAAAAGAAGGAGCAGGGGTAAGTATGGGCGTCAATAATTTACGCACAAGCATCCGCTGTGCCACTTGTCGGGAACGAGGGCATCAAATCTACCTATGGATTTCTTAAAAAATAAAATCCACCTTTGGATTAAACTAATGCAAACGTCTTAGTGCTGGTAACTAGGGTTCCAGCACTGCATAATGGAGGCGCACATGGTCAGGATGCTATAATGACGAGAGATGTCACAAAACAAGCTTGGCGGTGTACTATCATTCGTGTCCTTTTTCAGAAGAAGAAAAATAAGCACAGACGAAAACCAGAAAATATGTGGGTGCACTTTTTCACCGGTCGGTGCTTCGTACACAGGAGGGACGTGCCGTGCATGCGCGCCACGGCGCCAGGCCGCACCCTGGTACCACCAGCCGAGACACCGGGAGCTTGGCACGCGTACACGTCTTATCTGCGCAATCAAACGAATCATCATCAGCCTGTCACGCAGCAGCGCCCACATGCAATAGTACAAGCCGTGCATCCGGCCGCTGGAGATTTGGCACGCTCAAAACTTTGGGGAGAGGGGTGCGGCTCCGCTCACGGGATGCGCGTTGTTTAACCGGGACCGGGAGGCTGCCAGATGGTCTCACAATCGGGGCTGCCGTGCACGCTTCGGTCCAAGGGGGATGCACCTTGCAGGCTGCAATTACAGTCGCACGCGCCTCAAGATTCCACTGGTGGTAGGAGTGTGCGAATATACTAGGGGAAAATGGCATCAGGCGGGCAGGCTTCGCTCGAGGGAGCAGCTTTGTCGAGATCTGGAGATACTTTGTTTAGCAGTGAAGCATTTGCAGGTAACCTTGGAGTCTGCAAGTAATCTTGCTTCAGACTTAGCCATAATGGGTAGTAACATAAAGTAGTAACATGCGTATGTTATTAGTCTATGTTACTATCTCTACAGTGGAGAGTAACATATGTGTGATAACATGCAATACTTCATTTATTACACTATAGACTCATCTTGCCTTGATATATGTGATGTTACTTATACTAGTAGTAACTAGTTATGTTACTGCTTTCCTCTCTTTCTTCATTCATTACTTGCCACATCATCTATTTTATCTAGAAATGTGTGATGTTACTACATACTATACGATTGCTCACAGACGGTGGCTGGTTTACTAGAATGGTCCTACGCCTGCCCGCAGAATTTGTAAGAATTGTTCTTTTCCGTAATGACTTCAGAAGCAGCAAGGAGACGCTCTCTTCCCGCTGCCTTTTGTTCTCACCACTAACACGCTCCATCACATCCTCCCCAAGGCCAAACGCAAGAAAGTTGCGCCTGATTGGTGGTAGAACCCCTGCTACTCGTGCCTCCTTTTTATGTGGATGATGTGACGATCTTTGTACTCCCAATCAATAATGACAATCAGTTTCTGGCTTCCACCATGCAATCCTTTGGCGAGGTCATCGATTCGATTACCAATTGTCAAAAAAGCAGTGTCGTGCCAATCCGGTGTGGCGGAGTGGACCTTGATGAGATCCTTCACGTCTTTCCTACATGTAGAGTTACTTTGTTGAAGGAATACATTGGTTTGCCTCTTTCGGTCACCCGCCTTAAAAGCGGTCTATTTGTAGCACCTCAAAGACAAAGCTATTGGCAGGTTCACTCTGTGGTTCAGCAAGCATGTCTCTATTGCTGGTTGTGGCGTTCTGGCCAAAGTGGTCCTCACTGCAATCTCCATCTACCATAGGACACTGCTTGAGCTTCCGGTGGAGGTCCTGGAATATATTGATAAGCTTCGTTGTGCATATCTTTGGGCTGGATGTGACAAGGTACACTATTAAGAAAAGGCTTATTGATGGGCTCAATTTAGTGGTGGGTGTACAGATACCCACCACTGCAATTCTAGAAAAGTAGCAGTGAAGCGTAAGAACGGGTGTCGGCCACCGCCCTGTGGATAGCAGTGGCGGGTACCGCTCGTAAATTTTAACAAATTTAGCCGTGGGATAAAAGCAGCAGCGGCAGATGAAAAATCAGTGACCGCCACTGATTTGTCATGCACCGGTGACGGGTAAAAAGATTAGCCGCCACAGGAAAGTTTCACTAACCTGCACACATATTTCCTAACTTTTCAAAAGTTAGAAGTTGACAGTGTCCACCGCCCGCCACACATACAGGAAGTTCACGAAGTGCATCAAGTTTTGTCGTGACGCTTTCAAATTTTTCAGCACACCCTACAGGGGTCCTTTGAAGATACCATGCCAAGTTTATCCTCTTTTGCACGCTATGTTGAACTAAAGGGCATTTTGCCCTTTTGATTGGCCAGAATATCCGTCCTTGCTTCGAAAATAGCAACCCAACTAAAAAATGTGACCAAATTTAAGCGTGATACTTGGAATGGTGTTCACTACCATATAAAAAGTTTGAAGTGGAAATGATGTGGAAAAATTCAGTTGTGTGTGGCGGTAAGTTGTTTCCTTTCGAAACCTTGACACTTCACTAGAGAGTATCCAGTTTATACATGAAGTGCATGAATTTTGTGATGTAACACTCAGTTTTTTATAAATACCCTACAAGGGTCCTATATAGGTATCATGCCAAGTTTCATTCATTTCGGAGCTTGTTTGCACTCTATGTTGAACCAAAGAGCGTCTTGCCCTTTTTGATGACCGAAATAATCAGTCAATTCTTTGAAAATGGCAGACCAACTCAAAATGTGGTCAAATTTTGTGCATGGGACTTGTAATGGGGTGTGTTAGAGACAAAAAAAAGCTTGAAGTGTAAATGATGTAGAAAAATTATGTTGTGTGTGGTAGTAGGTGGTTTTCGTTCGAAACTCTCATACTTCGCAGAAGACAGTTTAGTTTGTACACGAAATGAATCAAGTTTTTGACATAACAGTCTCAAAATTTTAACACACCATACTTCGCAGAAGACAGTTTAGTTTGTACACGAAATGAAGACACCACGTTAAGTTTAATGTATTTTGGAGCCCGTTGCACGTTATGTTGAACCGAATTTAAGCAAATCAACTCAAAAAGTGGCGAATTTAATCATGAAACTTGCAATGGTGTGTACTTAAAAGCTAGTAAAAGATGAACCTACTTCGTCCTTGTTTGGATGTTATTTTGAACCAAAAATGTGGAAACAAAAGTGGCGGACCCTCAATGTCGCCTGCCACAGCTAAACATTGCAGCGGGCAGCACCCGCCACTTCAACAACACGCATAGTCCATTTGGCGGTTTCTCAATTTTAATTCGTCCCCTTTCTCCTCGCGCCCCAACTGCCGGCTACACCGCTCTCGCGGCCATCGCCAAGGTGTTCCTTGGCCTCTCCGCCGTTGCGACCATCACGCACCATCCTCTCCAACACCTTTGCACGTCGTCGTCGTCCATCGTCGTTGCCCTCGTTGGCATCCCCGTGCGCCGACCGCTCTCCATCGCCTCATCTGCTCCGCCACCGTCGCGATACTCAAATCCAAAGGGTGAAAACCGACAAATCATGTACTCCCTCCGTTCCTAAATACTACATCCGTTCCAAAATTCTTATCTTAGATTTATCTAGATACGAATATATATAAAACTAAAACTTAATTAGATACATTTGTATTTAGATAAATATAAGAAACAAAAATTTGGGTAGGAGGAAGTATTTGTCTTTCTAGAGATTTCAATAATTGACAACTTACGTAGCAAAATGAGTAAATCTGCACTCTAAAATAAGTTTATATATATCCGTTCATGGTAGTCCATTTGAAAACAGTAGAAAGTCAAATTTTTAGGACCGGAGGGAGTATATGTTTAGGTTTGCCGGTTGGAGTTAGTCCTTACCGATTGCCATGAAGTGTTTACAGTGACAGTGCTCTATAGCACAGTGTGCACGCAAAAGGACAAAACCAAACAGGATCCAATCATTTAGGGGTAAGAAATAAGAGAGTGGGCAGACATGCGACCCAAATTGAAGATAAACAAATTGGGAATCAAGTCTGATTGCTCTCTTCAGATCCATGGTGTTTACTTTTCTGTTTTCATTTCTAATCAAATAACACTTCATCGGCACAGCACAGATCGATCAAGAACAAGTAGAATTTCCTCCTATCCGGGCAGCTTAATTAGCTTGCCATGGACACATGGGGAAAGCTACAGTCTCCTATGATGCTTGGTGCCGACTGATGCTGCCCTGCCTGGCTGCCTTGCCTCTCGTAGGCGGCGCCAGGCTGCATCTGGTACCCGGAGAGACGGAAACATCAGACGCCTCCCAAGAGACATCGATGGTTCTTCAGAATACAGAGGTCGTTTTCTTCAGAATTCATTCAGATCTTGTCGATCCAAACAAAGACTTTCCGCGGCTAGCTGGCGATGGACACCTTCCTGGACTGCCGCTGCCCACGGTGGCACTCCGCCTCCGCGGAGAACCGCTGCACCCTCCGGG